CATCCCCCCCTTCTTATGTATTTTTCTCACCTTATCCTTAGGTATTTATGGTGTGTCGTGGGTGTATTTAAGTAGGTTGTCAAGTCTTAGTAAAGAAAGGGTTATGTGGATGTGTATCGGGCTCAGTTGTCTATTAAATATTTGGACTTTTTGGTTTTATTTAAGATATGTCTTTGACTGATCTTCAACTATTTGGTAGGAGATTTACTTGGTATCAACCGAATAGGGGAACAATGAGCAGGCTTGATTGCATATTAGTGTCGAGTGGCTTGAAGGACCTATGGAGTTTGGGTGGTGTTTATGCCCTACCTCGAGATGTCTCAAACCATTTTTTTCATGTTCTTATGTATGAGAATCAACTTTGGGTCCTAAGCCTTTTTGTTTCAATAGTTTTTGGTTGAAGCATGGAGTTTTAGCACCAGTTTTAAAGGGGTATTAGAGGTTTTTCGCTACCCCGGGTAGGAAGATTGTGATGTTGAAAGACAAGTTTAAATATCTCAAAATGTTTCTTAAGTTTTGGAACAGAGAGGTGTTCGGGGAGGTGGATGCCAAAATTGCCTGTTATGGCAAAGCTCTAGAGAATTAGGATTTAAGGGTTAAATTATGCCACATCCCTCATGCTTAGGTGGATGAGAGAGATAAGGTTTTTTAGAAGATATGGAAACTTCTCATGTGTATGGATATGCATTTTATGAAGCGTTCCCTCTCAAACTGGTTAAAGTAAGGGGACATTAATACAAGGTTTTTTTATGTTTGTGTGAAATAAAGAAGTGGAAAAATATGTTTTGATTATTCGTGTGAAGGATATTTAGATTGATAATATATTTGAGGTTCATGGTGAAGTCACCTAGTTATAAACTGATCATTTTGGGGAAACCTCTCCTGATAGACCTACCTTAGATGGGACTAGTCTCCCTTCTTTCTTCTATAGGAAAACGGTAGATCTTTTGACCGAGTTTGTTATGATTGAAGTTGATGTGGTGATGGCTTTGACAGATGGTAATAAAAGTCTTAGCCTAGAAATTTTTTATTTATCTTTTTCAAAAATATTATGGGAAGTCCTCGAGAAGGATATCTATGTCATATTTGATGAATTCTTTTTTAGTGTCACATTTCCTAGAAATTTGTTGTCATATTTTGTGAGTTGGTTTTGAAGGAGCATTCTCTGTTGTCTCTAGGGGAGTTTAGGCCGATTTCTTTCCTTAGGTTTCTCTATAAGCTAGTGGTGGAGGTATTGGCAGCTAAGTTATCTTTGGTTATAAATAAGTTGATATCTTTTAATCAAATGGTGTTCCTGAAAGGTATGAAGCTAATTGATGGGGTGGTCGCTTTGAATGAGCTAATCCATTCAGCTAAGAGTGCGAAGAAATACTGTCTAATTTATAAATTGAATTTAAGAAGGTATATGATTTAATTAATTGGTTTTTTGTATACTATATGTTGAGGAGGTTTGAGTTTTACAAGTGGTTGAGGGCATGGATTAAGGTGTGTTTTTCTCAGGGAGTCTCTCGATTCTGGTCAATGGTTGTTCGACAAAGAAGATTAATATTCAGATAGGCCTGAAGTTAGTGGATTCATTCTAAAGTGATTTCCTTCTTGGTAGAAGCTTCGGGATATGATCTCATATGAAGTGAATCTTTTGAAGCATACGGTGATTACAGATCCCTCTGGGTCTTCTTGTGCTTAGTGTTCATACTATGAGGAGTCGGTTGATCATTTTTTTGCCCATTGTAGGTTTGCTATTTGACTTGATTAAATGATAGGGTAACACTTTGGATAGGGCTGCAAATTAAATCCATCTAATCAAATCATATCACATATTTCCTTTGAAGAAGATTCTTATCATACTTTCTTTGATTGTGCTAAAACAAATCTGATTTGGAGATTCATTTGTGGTTGGTTTGGGTTGGTGAGGTAAATGTATCGATGTGCTTTGAACATTCGAGGGCTTGGATTCAAAAGGTTATGCCGAAGATTTCAATAGCTAATGCGGTTGGTATGTGGTGTATTGTTTGTTGGAGTATATGGTATTCTAGGAATCAAATACTTTTCAATGACGAAATCAGAGATTCGAAATTAGTGGAATAAAGGATTGTGCTTAACTCTTAGTGGTGGTTATCAAAGTTAAAAAATCTTCATGTCAATTGTACCTATTATGAATGGTACAATCACCCTTGGGTTTTCCTTCGAAATTAGAATTCTGTTATTAGCTGTAAATTTTTCAAGATTATATTTGAATTGGGGTACCCCTTTGTTATTAATATATACTTTTCCTTATAAAAAAACATATCTATACTAAATTGTTCTTAAATAGTTGTACAATTCTCTTCTGATACTAAACAAAACCATTAGTTATATAACAATTCAATAACCAATGTAATGGTATCAATTGTGACTACTTAAACTCAGCTTTTCTTGAAAATCACTTGAACGACCTCTCTTATGGGGTCCGTTTGTTTTGCTTTTTTTTTTAAATGTTTTTTTATAGTGTAACATAATTTTGTGGGAAAAAAATTTACATAAAAACTTTTCATAAGAGCTTTAAATAAAAATTTGGTTTTAATAGTTATTCTTAAAATGTTATATAGATATATCAACATTTTATAAAAAAAAAAATTGGATATCAAAATTTTAAAAAATTATTTAATTTTAAAATTAATTCAAATAATTTTTCATAAAAATTATTTTTGAGATATAACTTTTTTCAAAAATTACAATTTCAACTATGTTTTGATCTTAAATAATATATGTTTATGTTGTATGATGTTAAAATTAGTCTTGCAATTTAGAAAAAATAACTATAAAAAAACTTGTAATATTTTATAAAATAATTTTATAAAATCTAATTTTAAAAGTATAAAGAAAAAATCCATTTTTTAAAGGTAAAACAAACAGATGCATGTAGCTATGTAGTAATTTCCTACTAGATACTAATAATCATTAGTGAACATAAAACAACATTATTTCTACCACTCCTTTTATTTTGAGAACTTAATATTTCTGAGTTCATTAAAAAAAATCCTAAACTTTTTTAAAAAATGAGTAGATCATCTAAATAAATTATAAAAATTATTTTATAAAGGGAAATATAATTCTCACAAAAATGTCATTTTATATAATCACCATATTAATTTTAAAAATGTTTTATTATATTTTTGTTTAAATTCCAATAATAATTAGAGAATGTGTCTTATTTATATGTTATGGCAAAAATAATTCAAACCAATCAAAATTTGATGAAAAAGTTGAATTCAAAGTTGTAACTTTTGAATTTCCATAACAAAATAATCATTCAAATTTAGGGCGGGTAATACATCCAACTAATTCATTAAATTATTGAACTTGATTGATGAACTAAATGAGTTAAATATGAATAAAAATAATAATTTTATTAATTAAATGAATTAAACTTATACTATGTATAGTTCAATTTGTTAAGTTCATTAATCAATTCGAATATATATATATATATATATATATATATATATATATATATATATATATATATATATATATATATATATATATATATATATATATATATATATAGATATAGATATAGATATATATATATATATATATATATATATATATATATATATATATATATATATATATATATATATATATATATATATATATATAAAGTTTTAAAGACTTAATTTAAATCTTAGCTCTTTATTTTTTTTTGATATTATAACTTTTGTTTTATTTTAATTTTTTAATATTAATTTAAGGGTTAAATATATTTTTTATTTCTATAAATATTTCACATTTTATTCTTAGTCTTTATATAAAAAAGGACATATTTTAGTCTTTACAAACATTTTATGCATGTTTTCTAAAAAATTTATAACCTATTTAATTACTCCTAATTTTTTAAAGTCTTGAATAATTTTTTTAAGTGTTCAGATTGCTATAAAATGTTTCTTTTGTTTTTTATTCTTGAAAAAGTGTATATTTTACCACAATCTTCTTCCCTAATAGTATGGAATAATAGTCTTGTTGGAAGAGGAACACCAATCACTTTTAATATAAGAAGTCGAGTAGGCGGATTAGTCCGATTATAAAAGAAAAAAATAGAATTCAAAATATTTTTTGAAAATATCCAATTTCCCATAGAGATTGATAAGATATTAAGACACAGTCTCATCTTTTTACTAAATTATATAATTTTTTAAAATGAGAAGAATTAAATATGAATTTTTTAAATTTCAAAAAATAATGATAAAAGTAATGAAAATTCCGACTTATAAATCAAATTTTGGGTTTTTTTTTCTTGAGAAATTTTTTATAACGTTCTAAACATATATGTAGAATAATTATTTAAAAATACACATTGGTTTAACAGTAGAGACTAAAACTAAGTACATGATTATTTTGTAGGATCAAAGTACACTATTTTTTTTCATAGACACCAAAAACAAAATTTTATAATTTTATAGAGATCAAAAACATATTTAATCCTTAATTTAAAATGTTAAATATATAAAAGAAAATTTAAAATTGACTTATAAATTCGTAAAATAAACGAAATGAATTTATCAAGTTAAATCGAGTTGTTAAAATAAATCGAGTTTGAATTTAAAAATATTTGTCTCCAACTCACTCGAGTTAAATTTTAAACTGAACATATTTTTTTCGAATCAAATAAGTTAAAGCTAATTTCATTTGAGTCGAATCATTTTAAACCCTATTTAAAACAGATATATTTAATCAATTCAATTTGATTATGAGCAAATTAAATCAGATAAATTCGATTGAATTTTTGTTATGATTCAATTTAATCAAACTCGTGCCTTTGTATTTCTGCAACTATTAAATGAGCTGGCTTATTGGAGCAATAATTAAAATCGTTTTATTCTTCACTATAATAGCCACAAAAATAGATATATTCCTCCATGATTAATTTCTCCTTTCTTACTTAGCTTGAAAGTTATCTCAACTTCAGTCTAAACCCCATTGAATTGATTAAACTGAAAACAGAACGCATCAATATCATGGGTGGTGGTTCCATTCTTTCTTCTTCTAACGGTACTATTCCTTTTCATTCTCTTCCAATAACACTTCCTTTTCCGTTTTTGTTTTTCTCTTTCAATTCCTCCAACAAGTATATAAACTTATTGAGTTCTTGTTTTTGACCTAATGATCAATCAGGTATATACGAAGATTTTCCCTTTCCCAGGTACTGTCACTATTCATGAATGATGATGATCATAGGTTATTTATTTATTCTTATTGTTTCAATTCTGATTTTGTTATTTCTAATGTTTTTCAGGGATAATAGTGTGGAAAGTGGAAACACTTCATCTTGTGATGATTTTGTAGTCGGCGAGAGGAATAAGAGAGTTAGTATCAACCAGGAAATCTTGCAAAGTTTCAATGAATTGAAAATTGATAGCGAGAGTTTGAAAAAGGGGAAGAAGAAAATATTGAGGTGTTATCTGAACTCGAATTTCGTTTGTTTTTATCTGTTTAGACATATATGTGTTTTAATATTAAGCAAAAGGTTTCAACTTGTTTCTTTTGTTGTTTTCTTGTTTCAAAACTCATTGAAAAAAATGAATATAGAATTCTTCTATTCAAAAGCGTCGGTTTTTTAACTTTTGATGCTTAAATTTTTCTGGACAGAGTAGTCAACCCCGAATAGCGGGTGGAGCAGTTGATCCCAAAAATGGGATAGCGGAAAAGGTTATATCGAGATGGCCACTGCTTGATTATATTTTTCTAGACAAATTTTATGAATAATAATTATAAATATATGTAGTCCATAGGTGCGGGGAGAGATGAGGGAATGATAGGGTTTTGTCTCAACTCAAATTTGAGGTGTCTCACGTCGATAAAGGAATGTTAGGGTTGAGTTTCAACTTAATTTTGATTAAAAAATCTAAAATTACTCTTAAAACGTTTTAAATTTAAGGGGTAATTTCGGTTTTTTTAGAGGGAAAAGGTTAGTGAGATAGAAACCACACCAGGCCACAAACTGTTCCACCCCTGCTACCGCTATTTATCCTATGGACGCTATAGTGTTCTGCACCGCTAAAGTTCTTCCCATAGCGGCCGCCCTCCACTCCGCTAGAGTGGGATAGTGCCGCTGTTGGCCGCTATCGACAACTCTGCATCTACACTTGAAGGCTTCACTGGATGAAAACTTGTAATCCTTCTAGTCTGTAATTGAAATTGTGTTGTGTAGTTCATGCTAATTATGAAAACAAATTTCAAATGTTTGTGCGAGAGTATATATGGAGTTTCATCTCAGAATGAATTTTATAGTGAGTGTGGTTTGATTGTTAAAGCTATAGGCCTGGAACATGGATTTGGAAGGCTAGGGGATTAAAGGTGTGTGATTATGATGTACCAGAGACAACATGCCTCATATTAGTTGGTCCAAGTCGATCTGGGAAAACTAGTCTCATAAATAGAATCTCCAAGGTGTTCAACGACAAATTTGAACCCGCAAGAGCACAAGTATCATGTACTCATTCCATCAACATATCTTTTATACATGATCAGACTAAATAACTGTTCATTGTCCTAAGAAATTTTCATTGCATTTATCTTTTGATGCTAGATAACTCACTTATAGGAGATGGAACATACTTCCTCCATGAGTATATGATTCCGAGAAACTCAAATTCTATCTGTCTGTATGATACACGTAGTTTGTCGGATAATTCTCACCAGAATCACAAAATGCTGAAGAATTGGATGACAAAAGGTGTTCGTGATGGAGAGCTTGTTGTCAGGTTTGAATATTTAAGTACTGAACATTAATACTATACAAATGTTAATATGTACATGACGTTTTACAAGTTCCCTATCAGGAGTACGGATAATCAGAGACTGAGCGAAAGTTTGAAGTGTAAAGGTGACAAGAAAGGTTTCATTTCCAGTAAGAGAAGAAAAGTTAATTTTGTAATATATGTCGTTAATGGTCTTTCGGTTCTGAGTGCGATGAAGAGTGCTGGTGGTGCTTCGGAAGCACAGTATATTAAAACTGTTGTTTCTACCTTCAATTACCCATTCCTGTCATTTAAAGGTATTTTCCAGACTAGCTTGTGTGCTTTCCTCGTATAAATTCGATAGAATCGAGGACACTTTCTAAAATCAAGGCCATATCACTAACTGACTCCACTCCCTCTCTTTGATTATTCTTTCCTCTTCCCATATAGACCCTCCACAACAGTAGTCAATCTGATAGTTTATTTCTATTGTCTGCAGATGACAAACCAGTACTAGTTTTAACTCACGGGGATCTCCTATCTCTCTCTGACCGTGCTCGTGTTCGTGCATTTTTGGGGGAGCTATTGGGAATTCCACCAACGCAAATTTTTGACATCCCAGGTGGCGTTTTAACTTTTTGTTACCATCCATTTCATTGAACATTCTTTGATTTCGTTAAATTAATTAAATTTAACAATTTCTTAATTATCCTGCAGACTATGATGACCCTGTGACTGAATCTGCCATAATTGGAATGTTAAGACATACTCTTGAGCATGCTGATAGAAATTTCCCTCAGAAACGCAATGATATGAATAAGGTATGACCGAGTGAAATCGCTTGAAAGTTTATATATCATGGTTACAAGTTGATAACAGCACATGTTAACAAAACCTCATTGAGTTTTCATACTGTTGATGTTTGCAGGTTTTTAAAATATCTGCTTCAGTATTCATGATTTTGCTGATACTAGGAATAGGATTTGCCATTGGCTTGGCACAAAATAAGCTCATGCACCAGTGTCATGCCCCTCAACAGCAAGGACCTCAACCGCAAGCTTGTAGTAGTGAAGTTCGTGAAATGCATCCAAATCTGAAAGTTCATAAAAAGGAACCCAAGATTGAACGTCCAAAACCGAAAGTTCCTGAAAAGGAACCTAAGATAGAGTGGCATAAAATTCGGCACATATGGTAACTATGAATGTTACTGATATGGCTTGTATTGTATATAAAACTCCGCTATGGAGTATTTGGCTATCATTGAATTGGACTATTTAGCTTTCTTTCGTGCACAATTTTGAAAAACCTCTGATGTTTTTTTTCCACCACTAGAAAATATACCCTATAATAGAAGCATTGCATAACTTCATATAAAATAATCAAAATTGATAACAATCATTCTAACTTCAACATCAAGAAAACTATCAGAGTAAACTTAAACAACAACAAATTATGACCAAAGTTGGCCAGTATGAAAACATGGATTCCAGAGGAATTCCATCAATTTTTCTTCAACAATTTCTAGCTATAATTCTCTGTAAAACTGAAACAAAATTTGAGCAACTTCCAAAACTTTAAAATCCAAAACAATTGGAGCTAGTACTAAATTATTTCAAGCGCATTCAAACAAGAATCATTGCTCCGAAAAATACGTAGGATTTGGAATACCCTGCAAGAAGGAAGCCCTTGTCTTAAGGTCTGTCGAGAATCGTCCTAAAACAGCAATAGTGGCGGTACTACTTCCAAACTTTTCAATACCCCTAGAAATCATACATGTGTGGCTTGCCTCTACAACAACTATCACATCACCACCAATCAGCGGTGAAATCATTTCAGCAATCTGTCTGGTAAGCCTCTCCTGAACTTGAAGCTTGAAACCGTAAAAATGTACTATGGATTGTAAAAGAGAATTTCCGATTGGACTGAATCCATCAGATAGGAGGTAACCTATGTGAACAACACCGTGAAATGGAAGTAAATGGTGCTCGCATTGTGACCAAAATGATAAGTTCAACTCAGAGCATATTTTCTTGTTTTCCATGTCAACCTTCTCATTTGCAGTTAAAGAATCTATCCCACCATTGAGAAAACCATTCAACTTCATGTCGAAGTTGCTGTTCTGAAAGTTCATTAACCACTTCACAAATCTAGTTGGGGTTCCTCTAAGCTCCTTCCTCAGTGGATCTTCTCCCAAAGATTTAATAATTGAAGCTACTGCAGTGACCATTGCAGGGTTGACCGGTACGATTTTGGAGGAAACTTTGGCGGATTGACAAGGACACCAGCAGGAGTCCAATGATCCTCTAACATGGATTTTTTCCATACTGATACCTCTAAATTTAAGGAGATTAAAGAAATCAGCCCATTCATCTGCATTTTTGTTTTCAAAAACCCCGGAACCGGAGGAAACGAGTATCTTAACCAATCCTTGGTGGTTTGATTCGAGAAAGATTGATTCTATGTCTGGAAAGTGGATATGTGTACATTGAAGTATGACGGCAACACCAGCTGGCTTTATTCCATAATGCAAAGCAGAACATACTTCATTTGCAAGACGTTGAGGATCTTGGAGCCGTTTTGCAAATACATCAGCAACGCGAGATAGCTTGCTTAAACCGACAACTCTTTCGCCAGATGGAACATAACCTACATGACATTTAACCTGGAACGGAAGCATGCATGACTCACAATAAGAAAACAAGTCAATATCTCGGACGATCACAAGTCCGCCTGCTCCACCAGCATGGCCAACTCTGTTATCGAGACCGGCTTCTGGGAATAAAGCACCTTCAACAATGTCCTTTACCTTTTGCCTGTAACCTGGAAGAAGATAAACAGAAACTTAGAACAGTACTTTGTGAATTTCATGAGTCAGGTATGAAATAAAATATTATCTCAGTGGTAACGTAAAGAAAAAGAAGAATGACTAAATACAATCTGCTTTCAAGCTAAAGAAGCCCCTTTTCCCATAACTCAACTCGAAGAACCTGATAATTCAGCTTTCAGAGTTCTCTCTACACTTCGTAACCTAAATACTTAGTGTTCTCAATTATAGTTATCGGAGTAGTAGTCAATATCTGCTAATAACGGCACTATAGCAGAGCGGAGCAAAGGCCGCTATGGGAAGTGCCTTAGTGGTGCAGAACACTATAGTCGTCGCTATAGGGTAAAAATAGCGGGATAGCAGAGTGGTTCTTGACCTGGAGCAGTTTCCAGCCCACTATAGGGAAAATAGCAGGATAGCGGAGCGGTTTCTTGCCCACTATCCTTTTCCTCTCTGATAAACCGAAATCACCCCTTAAATTTAAAATATTTTAAGAGTAATTTTAGATTTTTTAATTAAATTTGAGTTGAGTCTCAACCTTAACCTTTCCTTCATTGGCGTTTCTGCACTTAAACCTTGAATTTTGGAATGTAATGTTTCTATTGAAGAGAAGGGTATAAAGATTTACCCTTTTTGGATAAGCAAGCAACTAAGCTTTTCTTTTCCTAAACAAGATCTATACACACCTATAATTATTGACTGCCTAAGACTTGGCAATGAAGTTGACAGTAACAAAACAACAGACAAAAAGAAGTGAATAAATTTTAAATTCGCTATAGTTCTCTATTTTTCCATAAGTATTATTCAGTATTCAGTACCAATATCCAAGAACTTCAAATTTGTCCACTCAGAAGAAAAGGACAAACGTGTATACAAAAAAGTACTAGGGAATTTTGTACATAAATAACAAACAAATCCTCAACTATAATCAGCTTTTTCTCAAACTTTTTCAAAGGAACGAAGATAGAAAAAGATCCACTAAAGCTAATTAACATCAAAACTACATCAGATCCAATTTTCACTTCAACATAATCAAACATAGACTTAAAAGCTAAGTTGATAGCTATGATTCAACAACATATATATCTTCAAAGAGTAAGAAAAAAAAACATTTTTTTACCTCTTGTTCCTTCGCGAAGGGCCTTAGCAACACGAAGTGGAGTCTTTCTAATACCTTCCCTGTTAATATCTTCTCCTAGACCCAGCAGCAAAACCTTGACAGCATCTTCAATGGCAGAAGCATCTTTTCCCACTTCAGAACAACCGTTATTCAATCCATTTTCAAGCTCAACAATGAAACTCCCATCATCTAAACAGCCCATTGAAATAACAGAAATCCCAATACGAATAATCAAACCAAAAAACAGAGAAAAGAATAATCAAATCTCATCAGGGTGACATGCACCCCAAAAGATGAAATTTTGACGACGACCCAAGTTTTGAAAGCATAAATTACGTCTGAAAACGATAAGGGGTTGTAGAGATCGATGTTGAAAAACGAAGACGACGAGGAATAACCAATGAAGAAACAGAGAAAGAGAGAGGCCAAGAAAAAAGGAATGAAAAGAAAACAGGAAAAGGGGTTGGTGGTGTGGTGTGGTGCGGTGAGTTGGTGTTGTTGGACCGGATTGGATTTGAATTGTGTGGATCACTCAATCTTAGGTTGTTGTCATTGCAATTACAATTAGAAGGAGGAATATTATTTAAAATTTAATTGATATCTACTCTCTCTCTCTTTTTTTTTTTTTTTTTTTACTTTGTAAATTTTAAATTATTAACATGATATAGCAGATTTATAAATTTTTATTAGATAATAGTGTAAAATTATTTTATACTATTAATACATACTAATTAAACTTTATTATTTAATAGTTAAATTGTGAATATTAGATTCTCTTTCATAATATTAACAAACACTTTTAAATTTTTTCCCGATAAAAAAATTGTTTAATATTATTATATTGATCTATATTTTATACAGACATATTATTTATTTAATAAATTTAAAAAATAATTTTTTTCTAATAAATAAGATAGTTAGAATAAGACTTTATTTGATAAAAATAACTAACAACTAATATGAATAACTTATAGATAATAATTTATAATTTATAATTGACAACTAATATTTAGTAAATGAATAATATATAGTGACTAATGAATATAAAATAGCATAAAAGTATTATTAATTAAAAAATCAATGATTCTATTATCTTTTATTTAATAAAAAAATTAATAAACACATGTATAACATATATATATATATATATATATATATATATATATATATATATATATATATATATATATATATATATATATATATATATTTATTTATTTATTTATTTATTTATTTATATTGTAACCAACATTAAGTTAGTGTCTTGGATTTGACATGTAATATCTATGAGAGTGTTCTAGCTTTTTATTATTGTAAGTATCTTATAGATTTCATCAAGTTGATTTCTTGTATGTGCAGGATAAAGTACCTTACAACGAAATTGGAATACAAAGTGCAGTGGAAAATAAAAAAAAAATTTACTTGATTTTTACGAATGATGCATGATCAGTGATAGAAAGATTATCTCTTGTGGCGATTAACATCTTTGATGCAGAATCAGATGAATTTTTACGAGCGTTGAATGAAGAACAACACATCTACTTAATTCATACGAACGGAGTGTCTTCAATCTCAATGCTACCTGCTACAAATAAAGACTTTAAGTGAGAAAAAAGAGAGAAATTACGACTAGGGTTTCACAAATCAAATTTCATGAAATGTTAAAGCTTTTGCATAAGGGTTCTATTTATAAACCACTTGTGTGAGATGCAAGCTAAAAACCCACTTAAGTGAAACACACCTTATGGTGTACAATAATTCACTCAAGTGCATGATACCTTACCATATTTTGTATTCAACTTAAGTGCACTGTATCTTACGGTGTTCTACAATTCACTTAAGCACATTGTATTTTACAGTGTTCCTTGTAGTATATTTCTCATCATTTTGTCTTTATGTGTGTGATCTTATAGGTTCTCGTGACGTTGACAATCATATTAAATAACATATTTAATATAATAACACTTAGTAAAGAATGACGTCTACCTCAAAATAAAGGAACAAGAAGGGTGTAATACTCAGTCAATCATTCATAAGATACAACCTCGAGCAACCTCCTAGAGACAGTTGGGTCTTTACGACCGTGAACAAGTGACAACTAGGAGGACGTTAGTCGCTAATATCGTTTATCGATCAAAGGTACACAAACAAAACCATGGTGGATGAGCATACCCATCGGGCATTCGAAAAGAATTACCACACAGTCAGCCGGGGAATAATTAACGAAGAAGTAGAACAAACTATAATGGTGATTTCTCAATGAGCTAAGTATTCTGTAAGTTTTTGTGCAATTTCAATAATTAATTTGCTAACTATGAGACATTGCAACCATAAAAGGTATTACAATTCCTTGTAGGATGGCATAAGTTACTCTTCTGATGCAAAATCCATATTTCGTGAACACGTTTCAAGCATAGTTGGTGCATCCATCCCCCTTCCCCTCTCATAAGAATTAGACACTCCAAGAGTGTAGGCAGTGGAGCCTAAACACGTCTACCGTGTACCATGTCAACCTTAGGAGGAAAAGACAGGAATCATACCTTTGGCCAGGGATGGTTTCTAACGACACTGAAGAATGACACTAACTCTTCCTAATCGGAGCTAGTAACAATGTAACTTCGGTTGAGACTATAGAATTGGATGAACACGACGAATACAGAGCAAGCCCTGACGCAATAAAAACTTATTAATCAATCATAGGCATGGATACTAGCAAATGATAAAGCCAATCGGTCGACCATAAAGAAGAAATAAAATATATTAAGCATACAAATATAAATAAAGGCACCATGCATAAAGACGTTGCGTCCCAGTTGTCCACTAAAGCCTCATCTTGAGAAGCTTTGAAAGGATTCAGTCCCTCAATGAGGATATAAATACCTAAGAATATTTCTTTAGCCTAATCCACTGCCTGGTCGAGACCTTCTTACACATTCTTCAAAATTTGCTGAAGAGACTCCCGAACTCTCTCCTTTAGAGCGGCCACCTGGCTATTGATAAGTGGTTTTCGTATTGTTATTTCTAGTCATTTTTACTTTCCATTTCATCGTTTTTTGTCCGTTTTATTTCAGTATTTTACGCTTTGGTTGTGTTTTTTTACTGTTTTTAGGGCCTAATGAGTATTCAAGGTGAAAAGGATCGAAAACGAGCAAAACATGGAAAAAAGGCAAAAGTCAGAAAATCCATATACAAAAACTAGGGGCTGATAAGGCCAACCGTAGACGGGCCATAGCAACAAGGCACCTAGGGTTTCCATTTTGCAACCCTTTAGTACAAAGACCAGACCCCTGCTACGGCCACCTATTGTCAATAGAAATACTTAGGGGTTATTCTGATTTTTAACACTAGTTTTCTGCACTTCATTTCTGTTGGGTAAGATCGAAAGTCGTCCAACCTTTGGTTAAACTAAGTTAGTCTTAAATGTTCAAAGGAAGCGAAAGCGCTTTGTCTAGTTAAGTAGGAGTTTTTAATACTTTAGAAAAACGATTCTAAAACTATTTTCGGACGCGTTTGTGGGTTTAAAGTCCGGTTCGCATGAACCTTTTTTCGTTTAAAAGTTCCAAGTCTAAATACTTTTCAACTAAGTCAAGAAACTATATTTCTTAAAAATAGGTTTATTACTTTAACACAATGCGCGCCTTTTTACAAATGACAATAAGAGGGTTCGATTAAGGGATAAACTCGGTTCTGAATACGCGAAAGCGACAGTTCCCGTTAAATTAGTTCTTTTCATAAGTAGAAAACATTACCCCATTAGAAGTTCTATTTACAAGCATTTGGAATACTACCTGGCTGTGTGAATTACATTCAAGCCTGTTGTTTTAAATTGAATTTTATATCTTCGTACTTTACTTTTACTGCGCACTCATGAACTCCCGATTGATTTGCCTTAGATAAACATCGTAACAATATAAATCGATAGACTGACGTTTGCTCTCTGTGGGATCGATAATCTTTTATATTACTCTAACGCGATTCGTATACTTGCGAAAATATAGCATCACGCGATTCCTATGAAGAGGAACCACATTGTAGTATTATGCACCCGCCAATTGCGGAAAATAATTTTTGAATTAAAACCATCTTTGATTGGTATGGTGCAATAAAACCAATTTTTCGGGTAACCGTCTGAAAACCTAAACCTGCACCTTTCAATATGTGTTGATAATTGTGGTACTGTTAAGGCTAATGTGTTGACCAAAATGCTATCCGCCTCTATTTGTTTCTATTTTCTTTGAGAGATCGTGTGTAACACCCTAAACCCTAACTCTTAATTATAAAAGAGAAAATCACATTTTAGGATGTTACTCCAACAAACATACATATCTCTTCTTCCAAAGGGGAACGTTGATCCTCTATCCCAATCTCTCTTTGCCGAAGCAACAAAAGGTTGTGGTTGGTCATCCATAAACAGAGTGGCACGACAGTAGTAAGTTGATAGACCCCAAGGCAACAACAACAACCTCGATAGTAGACGATGCAAAAGAAGTTGTATGAGGAGGTGTATCGGCCCAACCAATAGGGACAAGTTTGATGCCTTGAACAAAAGTGATAGCGAAGACATTTTGTAACTTATCCATTTTATCTCCAAAGTACAGGCACACATGTAAAAAAAACCAAGGACTTCACCTTCACCAAAGATCTATTTTCTCTCATCGCGGTCAATCACACTAATAATAGCGTGAGTATCAATGGATTTCTTCCTCTTCAAGTAATAGGACATTTCACTGGGGCAAAACCTTTATTCATAATAAAATCCCTAATATAGAGACTTTATATCTTCCCTCGTCATAACTTCCTCAACAGAGAGACAATCCAACTTCACGATGTAAGAATGAGACGTATATCAGAAATGGGGCTACGACCAGTATTTTAGAAACATGCTCTTACAATAACTATAAGTCTCTGTCGGGAGAAGGAAAGATGAGCCTTCGGAGTATAGGGCCTCACTAGCATGAAATGTCTCAAGAAATCGTCCTAGTAGTCAATGAATGGGTCGAGCCATGGAAGATTATGATGAAGCACAATAAGCCTCTGATCTTGGATATCAATATGGGAGGTATGTACAACATGGAACAAATTGAAAAACAACTGAGGAGAAAGTTTTCAATACCTATACTCGGCCTAAAGTTAAAACATATTCATATGAGCCCAGGAGCCCAAGTGAATCTAGAAGGGGGCAACCTTCAAATACCTCAATAC